CATCCTTAATCTTGGATCCAGTAATGCGAACCCCGATGCAAGAGCAGAAGAAACTGCAAAGGTGCAAACTTTGTCTAAGAATTTGGAAGAAGGTGAAGCTCTCACACTGAAGCTTGGAGGACCAGTTTACTCAGGGGCGGAGGATCAGGCAGTGAGGCCGAATAAAAGGGTTAGGTCAGGATCTCCGGGCAACGGCGGCAACTACCCGATGTGCCAAGTTGATGATTGCCGAGCTGATCTATCGCATGCTAAGGATTATCATAGAAGGCATAAAGTCTGTGAAATTCATAGTAAGGCTACAAATGCACTTGTAGGGAACCAGATGCAGAGGTTCTGCCAGCAGTGTAGCCGGTATGATTGAATCTCACCCAAGTTGGAAAATTGTTAAATCATTTACTTAAATTGCCTTTGAAAACTGGCCCTTATTGTGTATGCGTACTGTTATAGGTTTAGGAGTAGCAAATCTTGGTAATTTAGCATACTTCTGTATGTTCTTTACCCTACTGATGTTAATTTAGCAGATGCAGAAGTTCTGCCTGCAGTATAGGTGTTATGATTGAATGTGACCCAAGTTGGAAAATTATTGAATGATTTTCTTAGGGCTGTCCAAATGGGCTTCGGGCCTAGAACCGGCCGGGCCTAAACCCGGCCCAGGCTTGGGTAAGGCCCGAAAAATCCTGGCTGGCTGGGCTCCAGGCCCGGGTCCGGGCCGAGTTGGTGAAGCCCAACCCGGGCCCAGCCTAGCCCTGTTTTTTGATTATATATATATATACTATATTTTATATTTTATATTTTTATATATATAATTATAGTATGATATGGTCATTAATGTATACTTATATATATATAAGTATATTGTCATGAATGTATACTTATGTATACTTATATATACTTACATATATGTTTCTAATCTATATTATATATAATTATAGTATGATACGGTCATTAATGTATACTTATATATGCTTACACATAATATATAGCTATATACTAATATGTTTTTTATATACAAATATATACTTATATAAATATAATAAGATTAATCTAATTTTTAATCAATTTTTAGCGAAAATAAAAAATAAAAAAAATCCGGCCCGGCCTGGAGCTTGGCCCGGCCCTTGCATCCCAGGTCCGG